ACAATATATGAAAGAAAAAAATGAAAAAAAATAAAATGATATGAAACAAAAAATACAACAAAAAAGGGGGCCGGACACAAACCGACACGGAAAGGCTATCGACGGCGGGCGGGTCGAGATATTCATCCGCATCGACGCCCGCCGTGTACCCGGCCCAGTGGGCGCGCTCTCGCGTTTAGTGGCGCGCTGTGAACAATTCGGTACGTGCGCCACTCTGCACGCCCACCCGCCGTCGGTCGCCTTCATCCGCCGGCCCCCGCCGACACTTCGACCCCAAATCCGGCGTGCAGCGGACCATCGACCTCCCCCCCGCGGCCAATGCTGCCTAAGGGTTAGGATAATCCTGGTTTCATACAGTAGTGCCACGTGGCACGTTATAACCTAGACTACTAGGAGCTTGAGGTCTTGTAGAGAGTTCTGGGGATTGCTGAGGGAGGAAGGCATTCCAGTAATTTGACCGAGGGTAACAATCCTGCCAACGATGGTCGGAGCTGGGGTAGGTAGCGCTGCCCTGTAACTTAGCTAAATAGAGGGTATGAGACTGGGTAGAGGTGGGGTTGGTACACAGAACAGCATCAGATGATAATTGCTGGAATTGGTAGAAATAACTGAAATTAGGTTAGGGTTCTATGTTGAAGTTCTGAGTAGTGAACATTCTGATTAACCCTCCTGATCACTCTTCCTTATTGGCTAGTACCTAATGTGTGACGGGTCTGACATCATGATTCTGATTAGCAGAAAATCATCCGTTTTTAGTATCATCATCCTCAGCATCATATGTTGGTTACCCCGGGTAGACTGTGAGGACCCCAGCCTCAATTTTCTCAAATATTAATACAAGCCTTGGGCACTGGGCCCTTTCAAAAAAAAAAAAAAAAAAAAAAAAAAAAAAGTCACGTTATCTCCTGAAGACTCTGAAGACACAGCAAATATCCAGTGACGACGTCAGCCACAAGTGAGTACCTGATCCTCTATAACCACAGATCCCGATCTTCCTCTCCCTTGCAACTAGTCACCTCATGCAAACAGCGTGGACAATGCCACCTCAGCAACCAAGACAGGTGGCATGTGCCACATCAATAAGTGTAGACCAATAGCAATGCCTCGTATACCAAAATCAGCGCCACATGTACCAGAGGCAGCGGCACGTCAGCATGCCACGAAGACCAGAGGCAGCGCCACATGTACCAGAGGCAGCGCCACATCAGCATGCCACGTAGACCAGAGGTAGCGCCACATGTACCAGAGGCAGCGCCACGTCAGCATGCCACGTAGACCAGAGGTAGCGCCACATGTAACAGAGGCAGCGCCACATCATTATGCCACGTAGACCAGAGGCAGCGCCACATGTACCAGAGGCAGCGCCAGATCAGTATGGCCTGGCGCACTGAAGAAACGCCAGCATGCTGCCTCTACCGCGTGTCGTCGTCCGCAATGCCAGCGCAGAGCCAGCCTGAAGCCGGCGCCGTGTCAAAGTCAGGCCAGTGTCAAAGCAGCATAGCAAGACTCCATGCCGGACTTGCTCGAGGGCAGCCTTATGTAGCAGTCGTCGAGGCTGTCTGGCCTCGGGTGCCTTTCCTCCAGTCGTCCAGATTGACTCACATCTCAAGGCCCGGATTGCACAGTTGCAGACTTCTCCCTTGGACCTGATGCTGTCTGGGTACCTGCAGAAGCAAATGTGTGTGCTTGACCTGCGGCCTGGGCTAGGTACCTTTGGACTTTGACTGTTGGGTGGACCGACAGTTGACCGAGGTCAACTGTCACACGCCCAGGCCCTGAAATCGTGAAGGGCCTTTTCTGCCCTTATTTGGCCTGGGCTGAGGGCGGCCAAGTAGGCCTTCTGATGGCCCTCAGTTCCACGAAACATATGGCATGGGTTATTGCACAATAAGTGACAGTCATAAGCAGACCAGCCAGTGCTAATCGCCCTGCAGCGTCTATCAGATTTGATGATACTCTCTCTCTCTCTCTCTCTCTCTCTCTCTCTCTCTCTCTGTGTGTGTGTGTGTGTGTGTAAACTGTTACCATAACTCTCTCTCTCTCTCTCTCTCTCTCTCTCTCTCTCTCTCTCTCTCTCGCTGTGTGTGTGTGTGTAACCTATCACCACAACAACCCCTTTTCCACCCAGATGAGCGGATCCAAAATTGAAACAGCATTACCTCTATTGTGTGCATGTCTATATGTTGGGGTGTGTGCATATGTCTGGGCGTGTAATTGTGGTCATGTTATTTGTGAAGAGGCCTTTGACTCCAAAAATTCAGCAGGTGTTGTAAGAAGGGACCTGATTGAGGGCTCCAGTACTGTGATTCCTGCCTGCCACATTACCTACGGCGCAGTATAACTGCTGTGCCTACGCACTCGTCCAGGTACTGGTCCGCTTCTGCGCGCAGTATGACCTTCATCTCCTCCATCAGATTGTTGGCATTTTCTTTCCCTATCGCTGATGCTATCATTGGCTTCATTACAGCTCTCAGTTGCCCCACCACTTTCACCGCAAACTCCTCTTCATCTCTGTTTTGCCTGTAACGCTCATCAAAAGGTGGTAAAATGGGAACAGAACAGAGATGTTCGATCTGGAAGGGCTGTCCATCTAGGGCATCTACTGCCTCCTGGATATCCTCTGTAGACCTTAAATAGACAGGAACATTGAACCTATCGAGAGATTCTTGGGTTAAGGAACCTTTGGCAATGAGCGTTCGCCAGGCATCTTCAACCAGTTTTAGAAATTGTTTGCCATAGTTCTCTGGCACATTTCGACATGCGGGATCCGGATCTGTTCTGCCCCCCATCAACATCCATAACACACCCCCTGACACCATTTCCTGCGCTCTGTGTGCAAGAAACTTAACCAGATCACTTTTTGCTTGGGCAGAGTACGCATCAATCCACGCCTGCGACTGTGATGCATGTAGCCATATTGTTCCTGGATTGCAGAACTCCGAGTTTTTCTGGCTACCAGCAAAGGCCAGTTCATCTGGGAGCTTGGACATCCAGTGCAGGGCAAAGTTACATGTTACCAAATGAAGAAAGTGTGGCGGAAACAGCGTTTCATAAAAGGACCCGGGAAGAACAGCCAAAGGTATCCCTTCTCTCTGTAAGAATGATTGTGCGCTTCCTGCGGGGCCACCCAAGGGTGATAGTGCAGGAGTGGATGGTGCATTACACAAAGTCTTGACGAGAGTGTTGAAGTCATTTGATGGCAGATCGGAGAAGAAGACCATGGCAGCAGGACGATCGGGAACTGTCGCACTGAAATTGTGATGCTCCAAAGGACTTTGTGGGTCCGGATGATGGTGATCATTCCCTCCAATCCCTTTCAGCCCAGAATTGTTCACATCAATGTCGGGGCAACAAGGTGGCGTCGGTAGTGGCGTTACCACACAATCATGATTTTCTGGGTCTTGATGGTGGTAATCATTCGCCCTCAGACTCTGCACTTTCTGTCCAGAACTGTCTGCATCCCTGTCTCGGCAACTAGGTGGCCTCGTTGGCGAGGTTATCACACAACCTTGATTCGTTGGTCCCTTTTCAACAGCACCAGAACGAATCCAAGACCTCTTTTGAATAGCTGAAATAATCATGGCCGTCTGTTGAATGGAGTTCCTGCCTGAGGAGCATCCAAGGTCAGCAATGTTGAAAGTTGATAGTACTGAGGAACCTGAACCTGACCCGGAACCTGCGCAAAGGAAAAACATCTTAATACCAATTGAAACTGAATTTTCCATTTCACATGGGTCACCTTGTTGGTTGTGCAATGCACTGCCCTACTCAACTCCCCAAATTCAGCACGCATTCACAGAGTGTTCGCACAAAAGTTCACGTGAGGTCATGAGATGAAAACCGGATCAACACGATGGAGAGGATCATATTATGCAAAGAAAGAGTTCAGGTAGCCAGCAGCTTTGGCCGCATTCATCCCCAGCTTCCGCACGGTAAGTACACCAATCTCTGTTTCTCTCTCTTTCTCTCTCTCTCTCTCTCTCTCTCTCTCTCTCTCTCTCTCTCTCTCTCTCTCTCTCTCTCTCTCTCTCNTCTCTCTCTCTCTCTCTCTCTCTCTCTCTCTCTCTCTCTCTCTCTCTCTCTCTCTCTCTCTCTCACACACACACACACACACACACAACACACACGAGTCTCTCCTCCCTGAATACACCCACATCACTTGTACACCTAGCTACTGCAGCTATGACCACCTGCTTCTTCCTCCTATAACCCTAGCTATGGCATCTAAGACTTCGCCTTCCTTCCTCGGTGCAGGTATCCCCCCAAGTCGCACCATAGCACAAGCAACCAGCAGCGCTTCTGCAACTTGCGACTGAACAACTAATTCAGTGTGTTACTAGCTATAAACAGTACTGTTGACGTGTTGTTGCCTTATTCGGACCAGTACCGGTCTCCTGGGGTCTGTTGGTTGCATGTTGCCGTTCCGGAAGTCTCCGGACTCTCTTTGCATGCTGCTGCAAATTTGGACTTTGCCACTCCAAGACTGGACATTTCTGGCAGCCACTGGTAGACTTTTACCTACCTACCCGAGCGGACTACAGTGCTTTGACCTACAAACCCTACTGGACCCCTAAGACCCTGGGACCAACACTATCAGGACCCAGTGGGACTGGGACCGTCTGGGACTGTACCCGCTGGGACTTGTGGACTGGGACTTGGGACATGCTCACAATGTGAAATTCTCTTACTCCCGCCAGCCTGATTTCGATGTGACCGTCCTACAAGAAAAATCCTAACCTTATCAGTCTACAAAATTAATACCTTCCTAGCCCTCTCATAGTAGGAGAATACGTCAGGGGTGGTTTCCATTAGCTCATCTCTAGCATACCAGCAATCATCTCCCGGCTCCTTATATGCGAATCGGAGCCTCTACTGCCGCTGCGGTTTCCACTCCTACCTGACGTGTAGAAGTCTTTATCTAAGATGTGATCAATGTAATTTTTTTTATTCCATAATCAGGTGGGATTATAGATTTGCGTGAAGGGAACTTGTCATACACTACACAAGGTAGCAGCTTTGAAGCATGGAAAACCGAGTAAGTGTGTAAGTGTGCTGATATGGCAATAGTATAGGAAAGACAGTTCGGATCCCCTATAACACCTAACACTTTCCATGGTCCTCTATAGGCAGGTAACACCTAATGAGGGATTCCTTCTTCGGGTAGAAACTCCTTGGACTTGACCCAGAATAGATCTCCAATATTAAACCTAGATGCCTTCAGCGTCCCGTACAAGATTTTTTTTTCTTTTTTCTTTTTTTTAATAACATCCTGTGGATGCCTGCGATCCTGTGGTGGTGCGAGAACCAACAGGATCGTCGCCTCTGGCTGGATGACTCCAGTCTATTGGTGGAGAGCCTGCTGGAAACCGGGTCAAGCGTCGCTTATAAGAAGAATCAGCTGAAAGGAATTACATCAATGTGGCATCCGGGAGCATTACCCAGCTTTGCTTGAGCTAGCAAGAGGAGGCAGCATTACCAAGAATTAGTTTTAATCTAGGACGGGTCCCAACGGCGTAGTCTCTCAGCCAGTTAGGCTGTCTGCAGTGAACAGAGTGAAACACTGACTTGCTGCGTTGGGCCACTCAATACAACTTGAATGAAGGAATGAGAACTTGAGGGCTAAGTTCTTTGCAAAGTAGCATCACGCAAATAGGATGACAGAACCTGATGTCAAGCGAGTCCATTTGATATGTGAGGGGCAGTTGAGGTGGGTGACCCTTCTGGTATTGAGCTGGGAGCAAAGGATTGAGAGATAGAAAGTGGGTTTGTGGTAGGTGAAGAGCAGAGAATAGAGGGCAAATGGGCAGAATTGAGACTGTTGATTGGCAGAGGTGAGGATTGGAGACTGCTGATTGGGACAGATAATGAAGGCCTTTCTGGTATGCTGGTGCTCTAGTGGGGTGGGAAGCTCAACAACCATGTAGAGGGAAATAAACAGCACGTTAGCTAGGTGGTGTAATGGGGGAGACCTGGGGGTCACCGGGTGGGCGTAGTTAAGGAGTGGGCGATAAAGGATCCCATAGGTATTTAGAGTACTGAAGAGTCGTGTGAAGACTGAAGGTTTCAGAGATGGATGCCCATTGGCAAGGGATGGGAGCATGCCAGCCCTGATTTAGCTGCTCAGCTGCCGATTGCTTGGATGAGGTTTTCTTCTTCAGAGAAACCCATTCTGCTGCTATCATCGTCCGTAAAGAGTGTCGAAGTTTAGCCCCCAATTCCTCAGCCTGCTGATGGACATTATGAAATCTTCTGTCTCTGCGGGCCATCCACATGCACCAAAAGCCTCTGAGGCGAATCTTTAGGGCAGCCTTCTCATTTGCTGAGTCCAATAGACCGGTGTTGTCTATTCCAGTAATGATGAAGTTTTTGTTCCATACATCTGTGTCCCTGCCATAGGTCTGCAGCCAGATTGTGCGGACCTCTTCCCAGAAGCCGTGAGCGATGACACACTCCCACCATAGATGAGGTGAGTCCTCGAGGGTGGCATGAGGACACGCGTTGCAGGTGGTGTCGATGTCCATACCCTTGCTCAAGCACCATGCAGCTGTGGGTGTGCTCGAGTGAAGGTGGAGCCATTGGAGGCTACCCACCTTCACTTCAAGACACCCAAGGATCATCTGGATATAGAATTGTATCCATTCGGGAGAAATAGGGCGTAAGTTAAGGGTTAAGATTTGTGAGGACCATTTGTAAAGGATGTTAGCTTGTAGAGTACCACTGTTAGATTGAAGTTTTTCTATCCAATTTTGGATGAGTACTCAATCATGGGGATCTTGGTAGCCGTACCGATGTTGTTAGTGGCCTCCGACTTATCTCAGGTCAACTCAATCTAACTCTCGAGTGAAGGCAGTTAACAGAAAAAATTAATTCACAGAGATTCAACTCAAAAGAAAGATTTGAGAACGCTGAGAATACCCCCAAAGACTCCTACTTCCAAGAAGAAGTTTGGAGACGCAGAAGAACTAGTAAATGGTTACAGGAATGGGAGAACCTATAGATTGAGAAACATAACCTATGGGACAGACACAGAGCTATTGATAAGATGCTGCTCACTGACAAACTGAACAAGGCTAACTTCGCCCTTAATAAGAACATAAATTCTAACTCCATTATCCACGAAGTCTCTCATCCACACGACCCGTCTCAACCTCCTGCTAAACAATCTCATTGCCTCAACAAATTTGTGATTTACTTTAGAACTTTTTACAAAGATTTACTAACTACTAAAGAGGCAGAAGACGAGTCTCTAACTACTAAAAAGGCAGAAGACGAGTCTCTAACTACTAAAAAGGCAGAAGACAAGTCAATAATAGCCCCCCATTTAGAAATAATGGTCTGGGATTCAACACACAAAACTCTTTCAGAGGAAGAAAAAGAACAAATCGAACAACACATCTCCTTCCAAGAATTTACGGACACTATCCAGAGTATGGCCAAGGGAAAATGCCCGAGACCCGATGGCCTCCCAGTAGAATTTTCTCTCTTTTGGGACCTTCTAGCCCCGGATCTCCTTAGAGTCCTCAATGACATCCTCCAGGACGGCTCATTGTGGCCTTAAACAGCAGAAGGAATCATTAATCTTCTATATAAGAAAGGAGATAAGAAAGATGTGAGGAACTACAGACCAATCTCCCTTTTAAATGTCTCAGGCAAGATCTTAGCCAAGGTTCTGGCAAGAAGAATTCCTCACTATTGACTAAACTAGTTCACCTGGACCAAATTGGATTCGTCCCAGGAAGACAGATCCTCGACAATGTCATGACTATCTCCCAGGCTATTGACATAATCAACACCAATAACCTTTATAAATCCATAATCTTAATTGACTTCCAAAAGGCTTATGACAGAGTCAACTGGGACTTTGTCCAAGCTGTCCTAGAAAGAAAGGGCTTTGGTCTCAGATTGGGGCGAATGGTGAAAGCTCTTTATGTGCTTCCTCAGTTCGAGTCTTAATTAATGGCTTCCCGTCAGCCCCCTTCAAGGTGACAAGATCCCTAAGACAAAGAGTGCCCCCTTGCCCCTTCCCTCTTTGTTATCCAAGCTAAAGTCCTGCTCAACATGGTTCGTAACCATGATCAGTACATCGGCCTCAAGTTGTCACCAACTCTCAATATCACTATCTCAGCACTTGCCGATGACTTTACAGCCATCTCTGAAAATTCAGCTGGCAGGCATCTGAAATGAGAGTTAGTTGGCAGAAAACGGTCGCCTTGACCCCAGACGGCTCCCCCTTGGCACTGGATTTGGGGGCGTCAGTTAGACCACACACAGAAGCAGAAAGATACCTAGGCAAACGGTTATCCCTGTCAGATTGCACTTACTCCCAGGCGGGATTAGTCGAAGAAAGAGTTAGGGATGCTTGTGCGGCTGTGCCAGATGGTCAAAGCCAAGTTCCTTTCCCTTATAGGGAGGGTCATGGTGATTAATGCAGCCATCTTCTCCTCAATCTGATGTATCCTGTCCATCCGAGGTCTTACCTTTGCAACAGCTTCATCCATAAGAAGATTGGTTATCCACCCCTTATGGAAGGGGGACACAAAGATCCAATCAGTAATCAGCAAAGTCTCATGCAAGAATATATCAGCCAAGAAAAGAGAAGGGGGGTTGGGCATATTAGACCCATAAATTAAGACCAGGGCACTGCTAGCCAAATGGTCAGTCATGGCCCTGACCGAC